GAATGTCGTCAGAATCTTTTTCGTTCCAATTGTCCTGTTTCCGTCTGTGCACGACCACAGCGAGCAGCAATACTGCAAAAAGTCAAGGTGAGTTATAAATAACCACCAAAAAAGTATACATACTTAACAAGATAGCGACGCAAACCAAAATAGCCACTATAAAATTGGTATCAATACCAAACGACACAGCTTTAGCTGCCTTGAAATTACATTCGCGATGCGCATTTAATGATTCGGCCGGCATTCCTAAGTTGTACAGCTGCCCATTGAAGGTAAAGTTATGAATCCAACCAACAAAGCCTTTATTTGTTGGGGTATAATTCCATTGCAACTGTTTGCTTAACGCATCTAAATCGGACCTCACACCTCCCACTTGGAGTAAACCGTTCACATTTAGCAGTGCGTTTTCACCTGGCGGCTTGCCCAGTGCCACGCATGTGCTTTGATGGCAGTCATCTACTATTAATTGAATTTCCTGCGACAACACACGTTAGACGCGTCTTTGTAGAAAACAGTTAAACTTACAAATGGCTGTAGTAGGATACTAATGCTGTGACTTTGTCCAACTGTCAGCTGTTTTTTTGCAAACTTCATTGTTGTACCTGTTCCAAAATCGACTAATAAAACAGGATAACCATCTTGAAGTTCTAATGACATAAAATCTGCAACAACAGTAAAGATGATTAAATACAGTTCAACTTAAGTAATATTATTAATATTAACTATAATTTTAATATTGTTTAGTGATTATAGAATTTACTTTTAGGCCACACACAATATTTTCAACTAAATTATGATCCAAGAAAGCAACGAGAAATCTTTCCCCCAAACAAAATAAACCACGGCTCCGAGTGTCGGCATCCCGGAGTTTACATCGAAGTATTCTTTTTCTAAAAATAGCTACATTGGTAACTGATGGGGGTCCACAATTTTCATCATTTGAATTTAAAGTTTTTGCAAAGAATTGGGAATTTAATCATATCTTAACGTCACCTACAAATGCACAATCTAATGGAATGGCCGAAAAGAATGTCCAAACTGCTAAAAAAATGTTTAAAAAGATCATTGAAGATAATAAAGATTTACAAATGGCATTGTTGACATACCGAAATCAAAAAATTGACAATGACTATTCACCAGTTGAAATATTAATGTCTAGAAAATTAAGATCAATCTTACCTATCACGAATCAAAATCTTTTACCGAAAGTATCTACACAAAATCATAATAATAACTTTTTAAATGAGAGGCAAGTTACTAGTCAGCATTACTATGACAAAAGAGCTAAGAAATTACCAGAATTAGACATATAGTCCGGGCGAGAATTTTGAGATCTTAACTTCTAACGGCAAATCTTGAGACATTTTGGTGACAAGTGTTTTTAGGGTAATTGGACCCTGCTGAATCCGATTTTGCCTGTCACCACCTCGAATTCCGGCTGCTAAGGCCTCAAATCAAGATGGCGCCCAAAATGGATACTAAAACTCACTTTAAAATTTGTTGTTGTTGTAACCAAAGATATTATCATGATTTTTATGTAGTACATACGTTTCATTATTTATTACTATTGTATAAGAAAATATGTAGCCAAAAACAAATTAAGATGGTGGCAGGGGCGGACTGGCCCGGGGGGGCGGGTGGCGGTTGCCACCTGGCCTGTAGATCATAATGGCCCGTTGGAAATTTATAAGTATGTGCTGTATTTAGTTTCTTGCACTATTAATAAATTATTAACACGTTTCTCTAATTGCGGTTGATGTTAGGTTGTTAAAAAATTCTGTTTTAATTGAAGTGTTTTACAATGAATTTATCATTTTTTGTCGTAGCATGAAAGTGACGAAATACAATAATAGGCGACGCGCCTCGTTTGGATTGTATATTTTGTTACTTTTGATTAGATATCAGCTGCAATTTAAAAAAAACCTGTATTGTAATTGATTTCCCAAAAAGGAGTACTCTAAAATGAAGCAAAAAATGTTTTTGTGGTGCACCGCAGAGCTACCCCCGCCACCTTCATTACTACACTAATACTTTAATGGCCCGTAACCTATGCAATTCCACCTGGCCTGCCCCTGACTAGAAACCAATTTCGAAAGAAAATTCAAAGGGCTGTAACTTTTGAACTAGTAGCCCAATTTTGGAACTGTTTGAAATTATGGATTCTACAGGCCACATTCTATAAGAAAATTTTTTTCCGGGTCGATCTGAGACAATTTTTTTTTCGGGGTTCAAAAAAAGGCAGTGTATAACCTTCCTTTTTTACCAAAAATCGACTGCACCAAAATTTCTCGGGAAAACACTTTTTCTTATTAATTTTGGTGGGTAGAATCCAAAACAATTCGTACTTTTTCGATCAGACTTCTCAATCAAAAGTTATAGACAAGAAACCAATTTCGAAAGAAAATTCAAAGGGCTGTAACTTTTGAACTAGTAGCCCAATCTTGGAACTGTTTGAAATTATGGATTCTACAGGCCACATTCTATAAAAAAAAATTTTTCCGGGTCGATCTGAGACAATTTTTTTTTCGGAGCTCAAAAAAAAGGCAGTATATAACGAAAAATAATGATTTTAATACTACCTGTATATCGCATACAAAGACTTAAACTAAGCGCCATCTTGTCCGCCATTTTTGAAAAAGTGTTAGTAAAGTTTTTGTATTTCTTTTTTACTTAAGCAGGCACTTTGTAAACAAATTATAATTCTTTTGCTCACTTAAGGTAGAATAAATCAAGAATACTACAAAACGCGGCATTTGGAACTCTATTTCAGCCGCCATCTTAAATTTTTTTGGCTTCAAAATTTTTCATAAACTAGTACTAAGTGGCAAAACGTATGTGCTACATAAAAATCATCATAATATTTTTGTTTTCAACAAGAATTAAAGTGAGTTTTAGTCGCCATTTTGATTTAAGGCCTTAGCAGCCAAAATCGGATTCAGCAGGGTCCAATTTCCCTAAAAACACTTGTCACCAAAATGTCTCAAGATTTGCCGTTAGAACCTTTATAATGCGCTTTACAGAATTTCTCGCCCGGACTAATAGGAATGCATGTAATGGTAAAAAAAAAACACTGTATGGACACCAGGCAGGGTAGTTAGTATACTTAGAAATAGGACATACAAAGTAAAGATGGAGAATGGCGCTATTTTGATAAGGAATAGAAAATTCGTTAAAATTAATTACAAACGCAATTGTCCATCATTTACTATGAGAAAGGAGGGAAGTGAGCAGGATGTAGTTAGGAATGATAGGAGACCATAGTATATATAGATATTGAGAACGAAAATAATAATGTAATAGAAAATAAGTCAGAGTTAGCTCCAGGGGGTATAGTTACTACAAGGGGAAGAATTGTTAAAGCGCCTGTGAAGCTAGATCTGTAAGAAAGGGGATGTTGGAGTAGCTTGTATAGGTTTAAGTTACTTAGAGTTAAGTTGGCAACAATGTTGAGATACACAATGTAAGTAGCTAAGCAAATTAAACAAGTCTTAAACAAAGTATTATTCTTTACCTAACAAATACCACATAAAGAAACACAATTCTAGTTAAAAGATGGTGTGTGATGCATCTTTTCACTCTCCGCTTTAATTCCGGAATACAGATCTTACCAACGCAAATATTCAGGTGTGCCTTCCAACTTACCTCTAACAATTGGCTCAGGTGATGTACTAAATGGACCCGCGTAAATGATGAGACCGTTGCCATGCTGAGGAAGAACTTCCAATCGTATTTCAGACTTGTTGCAAGCTTCAAATGGTGGATACAAGGCCCATCCGTTACCTGTAAAGGTGATACCATTGGAATAACACAATTCATCATCTATAGGTTGTATAGAATCTAAAGGTAAACAGTCGCAAATGGGTTCGACGATTGCGTTTATGCCAACAAACGATGTTTTATTAGTAAACACCACAGCTGCAGTGTCCTTGATATCCAGTCTATTGTTGCACGAGTTATGTTCTGGGCAAACGGACTCCTTCAAGCATTCATTGATGCTGATAAGAACGAATTGGGCCTTTAAAATATCTTCGAGCTCCACTTGATGCTCGTATGTTTTTGAATTCAAGCTCTCAGGTAAGTAATATGGCGATCCGTGTGCAGAGAATCGCACATCTATATATGAACTATTAGATGGCGTGGGTATCACTGTGAAGACGTCGACATTTTCCAATGTCTTGTTGAAAACCTTTGCAAAGTACGCTTGGAACAAATCCTTTCTACTGACCCCATTCTAAAAATTAGAATATCAACATCATTGCGTCAAGTTTAAATAATATATAAATTTACACTATCTTTCGCGATGAAGTCCTCTATCGTAATGCCCGATAAACGGATCGAACCTGACTTGCGTACAGCTTCCTCTGGTATCTCTTTAACAGTAACTTCCACGGACGCTTCGACTTCGTGCCTTGGGATAAGGGGTAGATGCTCTTCGGTAACAATGAAATTCAACATATACTTCCCAGCGGGCGTACCACTTTTCATGATGATCGTACCATTATCGTTATTAAGCGTAAAATGCTCATCTTCGAAAGACGCCCATTGAAAGTACTTATCGTTTAAATCCCAATCATCGAGATCGTCAACATAAACACGACCAATCGAAACATCGGGAGATTTTCCCTAAAATAAAACACAGTTTATCCATATCATCATCATTAACCATATTCAAATTTATTCAATAGTCATTATTGTTCTTGTCCAGCATTCACAGACAGAATGTTTCTCTTTCATTATAAGTGTGAAATGTGAGTAACAACTTACCTCATAATTGTAGACAAATATTTGACTTTCGCCAGGTTTCGCTTCATTATCGTTAACATCGCCAATGATAACCTTCATGAAACTAGTGGCGGTGGCGGGAGATGGACTGCCACTGTCGGTTACGGCGATAGGTACAAGATAAAATTTCTGCTCTTCTCTATCGAATGTTACGTCCGCATTTAGAATATCGTCATGTATGGAAAACTTTCTACGTATATCACTACTAGCTTCGTTCGCTATCGCGTAACTAAAAGGAGGACCGTTCTCTGGACTGTCATAGTCATCTGCCGTGAGTTGAATAATCGGTCCCGGTTTTTGATTTTCGTACCAAACAACTTCCGTCTTAAACAATGTGGGTTAGCCTTTTGTTACTTTAAAAAAATAAGTTTACTTACCACATTCAGAAATGGGGCGTTATCATTGATGTCCAAAAGAATGATATTGAACTCTGCAATACTTAATTGAGACCCCGGCGCGCCGCCATCGTCATGAGCGTAAACGTACGCTTGGTGCTTGGGGAAGCCATTCGGTTTATCTCGATCCAGCGCCTATAGAGGTAATGTTAGAACATATCTAAATGCGTAAAAATTTGGAAAAAAGTACTAATAAAGGCCACCTGAATACTAAGAAACGTTCATGTTTTCATATACTTATTATACAGTGTGTAAAGCGATGACGTGTACAAGAGGGAATTTTTTTTAAAAATATTGATTTATGAAAAAAATTTATTCTTCATATTTTTTACTTGCTTTGAAAGTACCAATAACGTTTCGATTGTTTGTGGTTTGATAGCAATACGCTATTTTGATTATAATGTGATATGATGTAATAACTTTCAATAAAAAAATTAATTTTATTATTTTTCCAGATTTCTATAAATAAATTTTAGATTATCGAAACGTTATTGGTACTTTCAAAGCAAGCAAAAAATATCATGAAGAATAAATTTTTTTTATAAATCAATATTTAAAAAAAAAATTCCCTCTTGTATACCCCATCGCTTTACACCCTGTATAATAATCCACCTTCAGGTACTTAATCCCGTTTTTAAAGATTAAACGAGCGCATGCTCTTTTGCTTTACTGGATCCAATTGCCTATTCAAGATTAATTATATGAGGCACCCTCCCGTCACTCCCTACAGTTTGAATTACAAAATGCTTTATTTAAACTAATGAAAATTTACCTACCTCTCCCAGTAGAGCATGCGCTCATTTAACCTTTAAGAACTCGTGGAATTAAGCACCTAAAGACGGACTACGTTAAATAAATTACATCTTTGAACGGGATGCTTCAAATAATTCAGATTGAATTCGGCCGACATTTTCATCTTGCAAGCGAAATTGAGTCTTCTATAAGTTTTCATTCTAAACAACTACTTTTAATTATATTTGTGTTATACCTGCTCAAATAAAGACAGCTTACTCTTGACTAATTTTTAGAATTCAGCAAAAAACACCCTGTATATTAATTGATTTGGCTCATTTTCTCAATATCTCACTTTGAGACTAAGCAACAATTCTCAGAAGATGAATACTTTTTTCAAATGACCACCAAAAGACTTACCTTTATAAGGGAAACGCAGCCAGCATTGTTAATACTCAAAAAGCTTTTTTGATTGTCCATTATTTTGTACACAATATTTTGGTCGGCGTTGCGATCTTTAATGTCAGGATCGTAAGCTCTCAAATTTAAGATGCATCCTTCGATGATTTTCTCTTCTTCAATGGTAATATTCTTGTTGTACTCCTCAAAAACGGGCAGTTCATCATTGACATTGCCAATATTAATGATAACCTTCGCCGAATCCATATAAATACCGTCACTCGCCTGAACTATCAATTTATATTGTTCTATCGTTTCAAAATCTAACTTGTTGTTAACTCTAATTCTACCAGTCGTATTTTCAATGGTGAATGCGTCGTTGATATTGCCGTCAATGATGCTATAAACAATAAGGGAAGCGGTATCTTTGTCTACCGCTTTGACTTCGATTACATCTTTTCCCTTGTCAGTTGTTTCGAGAATATTATCGGCAACGTACGTGCTATTTGTAAATTGAGGTTTATTATCGTTACGATCTTCGATGGTAATTCGAAATGCTTGACTTGCAGAGTTCGGCTCCAGTTTGTTTTTTAAAATTGCACTAGGAGAATTATCTTTGGCGACGACGAGAACGTTGTAAAAATCTTCCGCTTCCCGATCAAACATTTGTAAAGTCGTAATTTTACCAGTCTTTTCGTCAATTTTAAATAAGTCTTTGAAGTTTTGCAATTCGTAACTAACAATGTTATTCGCCGAGGTTCCGTCCTTATCGATTGCTCTAACCTAAAGTTTAACGTGTATTAAACGAATTGGACTTGTACGAGCTTCTTACCTGCATAACTTGAGCACCGGGCTGTTCATTTTCTAACACACTACCTGTAACGGAGTCTATAAACGTCGGGATTTCGTCGTTTACGTCTTCTATTTTAATTTCAAAGGTGACGGACGCCGCTTGTTCTTTATTTGTAACTCGAACGGTCAGCTGATATTCGGTGACCCTTTCGTAGTCCAAATTGCGCGCGAGAGAGATATACGCTTCTGTTTCACCTTCTTGGGTAAGCTTGAAAGTTTGGTCCTTATTTGTCTGGGTTGTTTTACCCTTAAGCAGTTCAAATTGTAAACTTGTTTGTTCAGTGTTTGACCTACAAAGAACAAGAGAAACGTACAAATCTTGATTTGGCACAAAGAATCAATTTTTTCTGGTGATCTCTACAAGTAAACGTTTGTTTGTAACTAATGGCAGTTACAGTGGGAATGGACGGTTTTACATTCTACACATATAAATGCATTACATATTGTAACGTAATTTACATCGTTTATTTATTTACAAATAAAAACAATTAATTTATAACAGTAATTATTATTTATTTATTTCCATTCCCAAAATCACTTCATTGACTATCTCTGCTACTAACACTTGCTGTGTACCTTTCGTGAATCCAATACGAATACAGACCGTCAGATCTCCCCGCACCTGAGCTTGTAGTCCGGGCGAGAATTTTGAGATCTTAACTTCTAACGGCAAATCTTGAGAACATTTTGGTGACAAGTGTTTTTAGGGTAATTGGACCCTGTTGAATTCGATTTTGCCTGTCACCACCTCGAATTCCGGCTGCTAAGGCCTCAAATCAAGATGGCGCCCAAAATGGCGACTAAAACTCACTTTAAAATTTGTTGTTGTAGTAACCAAAGATATTATCATGATTTTTATCTAGTGCATACGTTTCATTATTTATTACTATCGTATAAAAAATAAAGATGGTGGTCAAAATGACGGTAGAAACTTGTGTTAACTAATTTCTTTAGTTGCAAAGAAAAAAATTGCGTTTTCTACATGGGGTTGATCCAAATAGGTTAAAATGAGTTTTTCTTCTAACCATTATTAATAATAACAATTTGCGAAAAAAATAAAACAAAATTATTCCCAACGTGCGGATATTTTTATGACTTTTGATGATATTTTAAAGCAATTATCGAAATCTTTTTGAGTGGGTTAGGGAGGTATTAATAATTATCTTATAAGATCCTTATAAAATTTTTTTTGTTTTACAAATAGAACGCCAAATATTGCGCGAATCTGCTGGCCTATATACCAAGTTCGAAATATTTTGACTGTGGGTGTGCCGTGCCAAAAGCATGCCAAAGTTTGGTACATTGTGGTCGCAAGAAAGGGTGCAAAACTAACATATGCAAGTGTCGGAGAACTGTTAATTCGAAAGGCAAACACATGCTGTGCACCAGAAGTAGCGTTTGCAAAAACAACGAAAGCCTAGAAACTCAGCTTGTGCAATCTTTGGATTCAAGTGACGAATCCGAATAAAGCCTAATGTTTTTGCTCATTTCTATTTTTTAAGTTTTGTTTTCGATTTATTTTTTTTATACAGAGTTTGTACAAAAAGTCAAACTAAGCGCCATCTTGTCCGCCATTTTTAAAAAAGTGTAAGTAATGTTTTTGTACCTCTTTTTCACTTAAGCAGGCACTTTGTAAACAAATTATAATTCTTTTGCTCACTTAAAAGGTTGAATAAATCAAGAATACTACAAAACGCGGCATTTGGAGCTCTCTTTCAGTCGCCATCTTAAATTTTTTCTCATAAACTGGTACTAAGTGGCAAAATGTATGTGCTACATAAAAATCATCATAATATTTTTGTTTTCAACAAGAAATAAATGTTAAAGTGAGTTTTAGTCGCCATTTTGACCGCCATCTTGATTTGAGGCCTTAGCAGCCAAAATTCGAGGTGGTGACAGGAAAAATCGGATTCAGCAGGGTCCAACTGCCCTAAAAACACTTGTCACCAAAATGTCTCAAGATTTGTCGTTAGAACCTTTATAATGCGCTTTACCGAATTTCTCGCCTGGACTATTAATCACCAGTTGCCGTTTTCAGCTTCAGTTTTGACGATTGTAGCTTTTTCTCCCGAGATAGGCTAGGTTACTTACGATGGTCTTCGTTACACCTGTATCTAACTGCATTGTACATGTTTTTCCAAATACAGTGCCATCTATGTATAAATTGTTTGGTCGAGTCTAAAGTGAAGCCACATGGATAGCAGTCTCCTGGGTAGGTCAATGCTCGCCCCTTCCCATCAACCCGTTCTAGTTTTCCGGGTTATTGGTTGCTGTGCTCCCGGGGCAATTTCTTCTAATGTGTCCTTTTTGATCACAGTCCTTGTGGTTTTGTTCGTTGCTGCTCCATTAATCTTTTCACTATCTATTTCTTCTAGATTCTCGTTTCTTTTCTTCTGCAGCAATGGTGTGCACACGAGCATTATCAGGATATATTTTTTTTTGCAGTAACAAACTCCAGGACATGTGCCAAAGCCTTGTCCAATTTCTCATGTCGCACAAGCGTCAAGGCTTGTTGGGTTTGTCAAACTGTCTCATGTAGGTAGACCACTGTAATTTCCCATCGAATGTTGTTTTCTACTGTGTGAATGTTATCTTGGACGCTGTAGCTCATCTTGAATCACATGTTTCACTTATTGTTGACCTGTTTCTATAGCTTGTTGATCGGCTTCGAATTTTGTACCCATGGGCGACTTTTCTGATGTAGATCTGGTCATAAACTTTCACTAATTGTTCACTTAAACTAACCCTACACCTGACGTAAATTTAATTATGACGTTTATTTATTTACAAATAATTAACAATAAAGTTATAACAGTCTTAAAACGGGTTAATTTATAACAGTAATTATTATTTATTACTCATTATTTATAACATAACTTAAGCGCGACGATGGTGGAACTCTCTGCAATACGCTACAATTTGCTTATATAGTAAACGAAAATTTGTTCTAAAACGATTCGCAATGTTCTACAATAAACAGGTCATTTTTCCTGGAAGGATTGAGTTATATCCGCCTTCCCTCATATCGCCGATGACTAATCTCGGTGTCTGCTGGGATTTCTGGAATGTTCGCTACAATATGCAAAAGGGTTTCTACAGAGACTTGAAAAAACAAATGGTATGGTACATCTGAACCTCAGCTAAAGGGTAAAAAGGGGTAGAAAGGGGTGTGCATGATAGGCGCAAAGGATTTCTAATTTGTTTATCAAAAGCATAATGGATGAAAATGCCGTATTTTGAAAAGCTTTCTTAAAAACAGTGTAGGAAACATGAAAAACTTCCTTTCTTGTCATTCCGATTTAAAAAATGTAAGTACGTGACAAAAGACAATTAAACAAGGCGCGTCTGTGGTTTCGCGGTCATTGTAGATGAGAGGAAATGATTTAATTCTTGGTGCTTCTGCTTAACCATATAACTAAAAAAACCACTACTTCCTACCTTCGTTTCGAAATTTATGAAAGTGGTTTGATGCTGTCAAGATTAGAATGCGAAGAATCACACTCCATAATATTTAATAAGAAAATTGACATGAATGCAACCAATTTTTGATGTTAGTTTTTGTAGCCTTCTTAGTGTCCTGATCTTAGGATTGATCTTTTTACGGTTGTTTTACTGTATGTATGGAATAGAATTTTAAATGCATAATTTACTATTCTTACAAAGGGTGTTCCATTTAAAAAATGTTATTTTCTTGAATAACTCGATAACCCAATGCTCAATTGTTTTTCTGATTTCACCACAATAATTAATAAACGACTTTATACCTCTAAAGTTAAAGTGTATAAACAAGACGTTTCAAATTTAGAGCAATCAAAATTTTCAAGGGGTCTATAAAACTTCCATGTCCAAACCCAATATCCTCCCGATTACAGCTAATTCTATTTACACATTTGATATAAATTGTCTAAAAAAAGATGATTAATGGTGATTTAAATAGAGCAATATTATTTAATAAGATAGAAATTGTTGACCCTGCCTTTTAAAGCGCTGCACTCTTATCTATTAGGGGTCAATGATTTCAATTAAAGAGCTACTGACATTAGAAACAAAAACATTGCGGACAATCGCCATTATTTTACGTTAACAAAGGATTCTACAGGCTTACCTTGCTTTAAAGACCGCTATTTTCTCGTCGAAGTCATAGAAGTCTTCCTTGAGTGTGATGGGATTTTTCGGATATATCTCAAAGACCGGAGCCTTTTTACGTGAGTCGACAACTTCGATGTCCACATCAGCGAGGGCGCTTTTCGGTGGATTACCGTGATCCTGTACGCTTACTTGCATATGAAAAATATCGTCCTTTTTCTTGTTGAGCGATTTTTTTAAATAAATCACCCCAGTTTTAGGATCGATTCTAAAATATTCTTTTGGATCGCCGTTATTGTAGTGTTTCGATATCAGGTCGTAAGTCAGTCTGGAATTTTCTCCATCGTCGTAATCGTACGCGAGCACCCTCATTACTTCACCGTTCTCCTTTAGATCCTCAGCCACTTGCTCTTTGTAACTCTGGAATGATACAGCTGTACGAAAAATTCAATAAGAGTTAAATTTACTTACAGCTTGGTCAAATACAGGGTCATTGTCGTTTATATCTTCGATGGTCACTTTAAACGTGCAAATATCCGCCAGAAGAGGTCTACCATTGTCAGTTGCAATAACACTAATATATAACTCCTTTTGCCTACTCGGTTCGTCCCTGTCAAACACGCTATTTGTCGTAATTTCGCCAGTATGTTCGTCGACATCAAAATTCTTCCGAACACCATCTCCCAGAACAATTTTATATGTTACCGTTCCCCCGGCGTCTTTCGGATCTTTGTCGATCGCATGAACCTAAAACATTCATTGTACAACAAGCTCGCGATGCGAGTCCTACCTTGATCACGAACGTTCCTCGAGGTTGCTCCTCTTTTAATGTAGGCTTATAATTAGAACAGTCTTTAAATTCTGGCTTATGGTTGTCCTTCAAATCAGTGTCGACTATGCTGAGCTTTTGGGAGTAAACACTCGTATTTGGTATTGGACTGTAACCGAAACCTGGGCAGAGATAATACGACTGTTGAATACCTGATGTACTTTTTATGCGAAGTGCACGTCACCGTGAGAGTTAATATTAAAATAAAAATCCTTAATTAATTGTAGCCAGTACCAAGAAGTTTATTTAATAAGTATAGAACCCCAATTTCGATAGCACTAAATAGCTACATAAAAAACTGTTTCCGTAATGATGAAATCTGTACAACATACTCATTTGGTTCCCTTTTGGAAATGTTACCACGTCGTCCACTGTCAACTGAACGACAACAACAGATTGGTCTTATATAAAAGGTCTCGCATATTTCTTAATTACATTAATAATGTAATGGTAATGGTTAGCAACAACATGTTCGTTAACTTCGCACCCCCCCTACCCTCGCCCCTACCATCCAATTTTGTTAAATGCATATAATAAAGTGCTATTTATTGCTGTAGTGGGGAATTTATTGCTTCGCACGTTTGGCAGATTTTTTTTATGAAATTGGAGTGTGCTAGCTTAACATTAAGCTGGAACCCCCATAAATGGGTAATATACAGAGGTGTTCCTAAATATGATGTAAATACGAAAAGGGCTAATTTTATGATTAAACATTTCACGCTTCGTTACTGATCTACAGTGTTAAAATTTTCTTTATATCTGCAGTTTTTGAGATATTTTGCTCAAATTTGATAAGTTACACATCATTGGCCCTGTGAATGACAGTGAGAATCTACAGGGTGTTGTTTTTTCAGCGGTCTTGTTCAATTTGTAAATTGAAAAATTAGAATGTGATTTTGCGTCTTGTAATTTTATCATATTTGCCTTTTATAATTTTACAAGGGGCAACCAATTTGACTGAAATGTTGTACCTACCAATGTTCCCTCTAATGGTTCTGAAAGCTGAGAAGATTTTGAAAACAACTAGAAAATGGGAAATGTCATTTTAGCTATAACTTATATTTATTAAATAAGGTATGAGCAACAAAATTTTAATTGAAACATTTTTAGATCACATCTAATATTAATTAATTTGACAGCTTGCGTTAAGAAGTGAGTTGATTGTGTGGTTAAATCTCGGGTTAAATACAGTTGTGGACAAAATAATAGCCATTGATACATAGTGCTAACGTCACGTTGCTAACTTTATGGACCTTAGCCTGGAACTTATTTACCTCTCAAAAATGAAGCTTGTGTATGCATTTTTAATTGCAGTATATTATCAACACATTCATGTCAAGGTCGTTGGTCAAAATCAATGACATTTGATCCAGTGTCCAAATGCCCCTAAAGAGGATTTACCTCTCATATGCAATATTATATTTATTGTTGTACGGCTATTGCTACATTGCATACTTTAAACAGCCAGGGGCGGACTGGGTACCTACGGGCCAGGGGGGGCTCTGCTGTGCCCCACAAAAACATTTTTTGCTTCATTTTAGTACTCCTTTTTCGGAAATCAATTACAATACAGTTTTTTTTTAAATTACAGCTGATAATTAACACTTTTGATTGAGACGTCCGATCGAAAAAGTACGATTTCTTTTGGATTCTACGCACCAAAATTAATAAGAAAAAGTGTTTTCCCGAGAAATTTTGGTGCAGTCGTTTTTTGGTAAAAAAGGAAGGTTATACACTGCCTTTTTTGAGCCCCGAAAAAAAAATTGTCTCAGATCGACCCGGAAAAAAAATTCCTTATAGAATGTGGCCTGTAGAATCCATAATTTCAAACAGTTCCAACATTGGGCTACTAGTTCAAAAGTTTACAGCCCTTTGAATTTTCTTTCGAAATTGGTTTCTAGTACATAACTTTTGATTGAGAAGTCCGATCGAAAAAGTACAAATTGTTTTAGATTCTACCTCGGATTCTACGCACCAAAATTAATAAAAAAAAGGTTTTCCCGAGAAATTTTGGTGCAGTCGATTTTTGGTAAAAAAGGAAGGTTATACACTGCCTTTTTTTGAGGCCCGAAAAAAAATTCTCAGATCGACCCGAAGACAAAAATTTCTTAAAGAATGTGGCCTGTAGAATCCATAATTTCAAACAGTTCCAAGATTGGGCTTCTAGTTCAAAAGTTACAGCCCTTTGAATTTTCTTACGAAATTGGTTTCTAGTCCATAACTTTTGATTGAGAAGTCCGATCGAAAAATTACGAATTGTTTTAGATTCTACGCACCAAAATTAATAAGAAAAAGTGTTTTCCCGAGAAATTTTGGTGCAGTCAATTTTTGGTAAAAAAGGAAGGTTATACACTGCCTTTTTTTGAGCTCCGAAAAAAAAATTGTCTGTGTTTTTTATAGAATGTGGCCTGTAGAATCCATAATTTCAAACAGTTCCAAGATTGGGCCACTAGTTCAAAAGTTACAGCCCTTTGAATTTTCTTACGAAATTGCTTTCTAGTCAGGGGCGGGCCAGATGGAATTGCATAGGTTACGGGCCATTAAAGTATTAGTGTAGTAATGAAGGTGGCGGGGGGGTAGCTCTGCGGTGCACCACAAAAACATTTTTTGCTTCATTTTAAGGTACTCCTTTTTCGGAAATCAATTACAATACAGTTTTTTTTTAAATTGCAGCTGATAATTAAAAGTAACAAAATATACAATCCAAACGAGGCGCGTCGCCTATCATTGTATTTCATCACTTTCATGCTACGACAAAAAATTATAAATTCATTGTAAAACACTTCAATTAAAACAGAATTTTTTAATTTTTTAACAACCTAACATCAACCCCAATTAGAGAAACGTGTTAATAATTTATTAATAGTGCAAGAAACTAAATACAGCACATACTTATAATTTCTAACGGGCCATTATGACATACAGGCCAGGTGGCAACCGCCACCCGCCCCCCCGGGCCAGTCCACCCCTGTAAACAGGTCAGCCATTTCGGATTATACATTTTTGTTGTTCTCTACGAAAAAATTGGCTGTTAGAGCCGGATGTGTTTTCTGCATAACATTTTTGTGTAAGAATCTTAAAATAAATTATGAGGTCTTCATAGGAGTTCGATCGACTAATCCGCAAGTGAAATTAAGTCTGCAGTCGATTAAATTAATTTTCTTGTTTTAACATATGTTTCCGTTTTACTTTTTTCGAGTGGCCAAAGAGGATAGGTACTTGAAACTAAAATAGTGCAATCTTGCAATTGATAGCTGTGAATAATTGTGGGACTATCTGCCAGAAATTGTGTCATTTCATCAATCTACCACTTCATTCAAAAGGATTGATACTTGACGAACACACCCCAAAAAAGTCGAAGTCACGGTGCCTATTATTACCCGACCAATTTGAGAGTTAAGCACCGAAACAATATTCTAAGAACGACCTTTGTTGCGAATCGGAGTTCGAGTGCTAACAAAGGCTGGAATTCCAAGCAGTAAAACTGGCACGGTAACGACCACAGTCCACATTGTTGCTTTCGAGCGAAACTCGTAAAAACGAGAATTTAAATTGTCCAAGACCCGAAATGAATAATGCGTAATTATACAGTAGCGGTTACTCAATGAAAGTTATCTTTAGATTTTACTACGGACTACTACTAATTTACACATGGTGTTCGAAATAATTAATTGTGGCGCCTAATTTATAACGGGTCGGAAACCAAATTTGGCAACGCTGTTTGACTTCAATTTGGCGCTAGTGAGAAAATTTGAACTGGCGCACTTATTCTATGCTAATGACGTAAACTTCCCATGAAAAAGCCCGTTTGATATCATTCTTCTTGCGATCAACACAAAAAAAAAATGATACAACTATTTATAACCTTCATAATTGTAGTGCGCATAGACCGGTTTAATTATACCGTGTATGAACACATGGTAAGTGTAATCCGAGCATGTAGGTACACAGTAGCCGGTGCGTGTTGTAATTACCTAGTCGATTACATTCCACCGAAAACAGGAAGCTTCCGAAAAATATACATTAGTAACATACCTAATGTCATTTGAGTGTTACGTTGACGAGTTATTTATATTTATTTAAACAAAATTGAAACGAGATTTAGCATTTATATAATAACGAATATAAACAGCTCATTTATTTCTATAAATATATAATTTAATGATCATCTACGAAATCATAACAAAGACCCTTTGCGTTAGGTCGTGGATTCATTCCCCCGCGTCAATCTACAGTCTGCACCATTGAATTAGAAAACTGCGGTTTTTATATTTAATAGTGTTTAACATAATAAGATTGAGGAACAGCAAAAATGTGGCCTACAAAACCATGCATTTCAAAAACGCTGTAGCCAATCGTGCGAGTGCGACGGCTTTACAACTTATGTTAACAGTGGATCGCACAGAGATATGCGAGTCTGTACTTATACCTTTGTAACGCCAAGCCAGATTTGCGCAGTGGCGATATTGTAACCGATGAGGTTGTCTCTACAAAGCTCGTTTTTGGATAGTGCAAGTGATTTGTGACATTTACAAATTTTACTGGTCCTTTTCAGAATCAAGCTTTTAAAAAGTCCTTTTGAGGGTAACTGTTCGTTAGAATATAGTATTGCTACCGACCGACGAACATGAACCTCTCCACTTCATCCGAAAGAACTGCTGGTACAAGCTAGTACCTGATCTACACTAACAAACTCATGGTGAAAGAGGTGGGGCACAAATGATCATACCCTAGAAGTCGAATATTCGAAAAATCTGCTTCTTCTTGTTATAAAACAAACGTTTTTACTTTTTGACTTACTACAGCGGAGGTAGTCCCAAAACTTCGTTTTCTGACTATATCTCTGCTTTCGAACATTTGTTTGTGAAGCCTACTTTTTTCGTACCGCGACAGAGAAGAAATGCAAACTGCAGGACGTGCTTTCCCAGGAAACACTTGAAAAGAATGAAAATGCGAACCAACAAATTAAGGTATCTCCTCCTCAAAAAAATCAACGGAGCCTGATGTTGACTGCTTATGCTGCAGAATTTACCCATTAGGTGACCATTACTTTTGTCAATGACCGTACCTCTTACACCTCAACTGGACTGAAGGTCCGATCCATACGACCTTTCAGCAAAAATAACCCAAAATGCTTCTTTCTTGGTACCCTTTGTGTTCAAGACAGTGAAAAAAGTACGATGGCAGCTTTTAATACAGCCAGCTGGACGAACAAGATGGATTTTATAATGTTTCAAAATGAACTAAAAATTACTTGCAAAACATAAAGCTCCTTCAGATCAAGATGCTTCGGCGTCTGGAGATTCCAAAGGTTTTGAACTGACTTCTTTCAGTAGAAGTGTGCAATTCAGTTCGAGGAATTATTCCCATTGATGAATCACGAGATGATAAACGGGTTCAATCATAAATGACTCAGGCACCGATTTTACCAAAGGTACCCCTTACTTTTCAGCTTAGATCACTTTCCAGACAATAGTTTGCCCTACATTCTCCGAATTGTTTCAGCTTTCCGGTCCCACTGAAAATGCCCACATGCAATTACGAGCCGTATCACTTTCCTAGCGAGAGATAATGAAAGAAAACTTTAAGAGCTACACGGCAAGTGGGAAATACGTAAGGAATGAGTCATCCCATTAAGAGCTCCATTTCATTTTGTACAGAGTTAAAAAATCGGAGAGTAAGATATCGATGGCGGAAATATTTTACATTCTGCAAACTGGTTTTTGAATGATGATGCTCCCTTCGCGTTCCCCGTCAAAAATAAAGGGATCCAATTAAAAAAACGCGATTATTTCGTAAAACACGTAAAGGTGTCAACACGAATGCGTCACACGGGAACCACCCATTTGTGTTAAAGTTCAACAGGTATTCCAAGGAAAATTATTCATTAGAGCACAATTTCGAAATGCTGACAGTTCGGCATATGGCAATTAAAGGTTCACAGCCTGCATTTTTAAAAAGAACGGACAACGTGCACTACACAACGGACATTTAAACGCCGCATAAGTTAATTGGTCAACAAATTCTTACCTGTTTCGTTGTCGTAATTTGAAAATGAGTTCGCTTGAATTACGTACAAAAGAAGTACAAATGGGGTTCTATTTCTAATACCAGCCATCGTATAAAAGGCACCCTTTAAAGCACTTTCGTTTATAAATATAAAATAACTAAATCCGTTTATAATTTATCACTAGAAGCTGCAGACTTCACGCACAAAACAGCGACATTTTCAACAAGTTCATTCATCTTACACACTTATAACAAAACGTATAAATAGCCACCTCTTAATGCCGACTTCATTTATTAAAAACATCGCAAAACGATTTACTAACTCAAAAATAACCGTAATAATGAAATAATAAACAAGAAATGTACAACTAATACTAACAGAGAATGCCTCTGTTTACTGCTTTCTTTCGTTTCATTTAGCAGTGACTGACAATAGAGGCTAATGCGCGTGCGTGGTAATCTGCGCTGCGCGGTATCACTTTCATAATGCCGATTCTTTGCCGTATTGCCAAGCCTAATTGTTCATAATTAATAATTATAAACCTTTAATATTCGTACTTTTGTAATTTATTTAGAAATTTCATACAGATAAACGCGGTACAGTATCTGCCTTTAAAAAGACAAATCCGAGATTCACGACCTTTAAGTCAGGGCCGCACTGGCTGTAACAGACAGAGGCGGATCAAGTACAAATACGTAAATTTAATTACGTGATTTGTTTATATAAAACCAGCAGACCCAGTGAACATCGTCAATACCTCCCGGATGGGACATAAGCTCAATTACGGCGCTGGCTCACCTCGCCCACATTTCCCACTGCATAGATGGGATATAAGCCCGATTTCAGCGGCTGCGCCGCCTCCCCTCGCACACTTTTACTAAATCAGAAACCATTCCCCAAAGTTTCATCGCAATCAGAAGTTTGGTAAATCAGATTAATATCACTCTTGGAAAACCACCAATTAAATGTAGTGAAGCGGAAAGAAATTTGGGTGTGATATTCGATCATAAATTAAGGTTTAAGTCTCCCATAAGTAAGTGTGTCAGAGTGGGTTCTGGAAATTAAGGCTACTCTACCAAAATCGAGTCCTTAACGTTAATCCTACTCCGGCCAGATTCAAAATGGTTGGCTTACAATCCTTCCTTAAAGTGATCATCGCAAACCTCCTCAAGAAAAGCTACTAATATCAATATTAATGATTTTAAAATTAGTTGGTTTAAATATATTACCTTAGGTAATCATCATTACTTTCAAAAGCAACTTTTGTGCGAAGATGCTCAAATTAATCATTTCAATTGTGTTATAAAGAAACCAATTTCGAAAGAAAATTCAAAGGGCTGTAACTTTTGAACTAGTAGCCCAATCTTGGAACTGTTTGAAATTATGGATTTTACAGGCCACATTCTATAAGAAAATTTTTTTTCCCGGTCGATCTGAGACAATTTTTTCTTCGGGGCTCAAAAAAAGGCAGTGTATAACCTTCCTTTTTTACAAAAAATCGACTACACCAAAATTTCTCGGGAAAACACTTTTTCTTATTAATTTTGGGGCGTAGAATCCAAAACGATTCGTACTTTTTCGATTAGACTTCTCAATCAAAAGTTATAGGCTAGATATAACAATTATCAATGTATTGCCTAAACAACACGTTTTAAGCACGGAGCTTTATATAAAATCCTTTGCCCTGCTCAGTGCGCAAATTTCACCAGGTTGTGCTAAAAAGCTGCACAAGAGCTGTGCATAATTTGTACTTTTTTTAACAATTATAATTAGTGCTAGAAGCTGTGATATATGCCTGGCGTCGCCGCCTCTCCCTGGATTTAGTCAACTGTCGTGGGGATGCGTCCCTGGTAGGCACTCTCAGGGGCGTTTCACAACTACGTTGTTGCCATTGCGCTGGGTCGCTACATATGCCAAACAATGTGGTGGATTGTATGGATTGGGGGGAGCGTCTAACTAGGTGTTATCCGACTCGAACGGGGTATGCTGAAAATTGTAACACCGATTTAGCTTGTGTTAATCATTCAACTTCATCCATGACACCTTAAACTTGGGACATAACTAAAAAATTCTAAACATTTAACATTAAACGCTTAGCCCCCCCCCGCCCAAATGCATTTTTTATACTTAAACGCCGGTATTCCGTACTACTTCTATTGCATTCATGGTTTGTACCTTTTTGGTTTCGAAAACACTTCGAAAATTCCCCAAAATTAAATTTCATTATACCTAAAGTGGGGTCTTATTAGATCTAGAATGTGCTGGGTCATCCACTGTTTCCTTTTTCCACCCCAGACGTCCTAGCAGGGTTTATGCCGTTTCAATGATGCACTGTTAAAGTGAACGTCTGAACGCTTGCGTGTCCAATATTGGGATGAAACTGGTGACTTTATTAGTCGGTTGTTTGTGCACAACGAAAGCAACACAATAAGTCTGCTTGGTGTTCTCCAGATTAAAAGACGTGATGGTCATTCTCTGTTCCGGACCATTCGGTTTTACTTAGACCACATATGTTGATATTAATGCGTTCCATTTCTTGTACGAACGTTGACTAGTTTTCCTGGTTGGAGTATAGATATCTGACGCAGCGATTTTCCGAGAATACTTCTATGCAAGTCCACGATTCTCAGCCCACTGTTTCATTTACGGGACGCTTAGACTCGAGGTCGTGGTTTATTTTGTTCTCTATCATTGAAGTTTTCAAGGGAAAGATAAGTGTCTTTATGCTAACAATAGAATGGCTATTATAAAACACGGGGGTATGCAAATGATTTATCCATTATGTGCTCACCTGTATTTGTGTAAAGGACGTTTTTTGCACCAGAAAAGGTGAGATTGGGCGTCTTCTAGCAACGACTTGCCTCCAAAATCACCTCCGCTGTGCACTGGCGTAACCAAAACCATGTTTAGGTATGGAGCACTTTCCGGGTGACTCGAAACAAATCGACTCCCTACTGCGATATATGTAATGGCGCCATGCGGCCTGCTTTACAGCCGTAATGGGGGGGGGGGGGCTTGCGTCTTCAGGTAATTAAACCTTTCGACTTCAACCTAAGGGGTTGGTGGGTAGGAGCATACAGACGACCACTGTCTCATGATAGCAGACGCCAGTATGCAATAACAATAATATCCAGATTCTAATGATTAACTTCGTAAATATCTGTCTTACTAGCAATATTATGAAATCTCAAGGTGGTACAAATCAAAGAAATATCTAAAAAAATACATTAAATTATTTAAACTGATAAATATCAGAATTTAACTCACTTCTCACAGCGAAATATTTTAATTATAGTAAAAGGAAATTTTCAATGTTGACAATAAACGTCAAGATTGCTCAATGATGGGCAACAATTGGTAGCAAAAATGACAATAGTCGCTCTTTTCATTTACAACCCACAAGAGATGACAAAAGGGAATGATGAAACACTCATATTTTTGTAAACTTAAAACAGCGTTACGAAAAGAGGAAGACTGCTAATTAATTCAAAGGTCATAATTAATTGCCGGAACAATATACAAAAAATTATGACTGGATGGTGACTACCTTTATTAATAAACATAATAGAAAAATACAGAAATAAACAAAACCATTACACCTTAAAGTTATTATTTATTTTCTCAAGAATAGAATTTATAAATTAAATTAATTCGTATTAATCTAAATGTGAATAGTAGTCACAATGATTGACAAAAAGTTAAAATGAAATGTATAACAACATAAACCAAATGGGACAAATGCATTGGTTATTACACAGTTTGCGTGATATAAATTTTATTTATAACAAAACTTAAAAATTCTTCCAAAACCACACTAGGCCGAGGCAGATTAAAGAGTCTCTTTTTTCGAAGCTAAGGTAAAAATTTAAAAAATGACTAATTTTACACATGGTGTGAAGTAGTGGGTGTCCATAATGCATCTATAATCTGCCCCGAAGAGGAATGTAGACACATTTAAGTAGACAGTAGATAGGTACATAAAAAAACGCTAGGCCCCGTGAATACATCCCACCTGGCCTAGGCCGGTGGATAGAAGGAAGGAACAGGTAGCGTGCCCACCCAGGTTCATTAATACACCTAAATTACACCTGTTCCAATCGTTATCCCCAATGTTCTGTCTTCAAAGGAAAATCTGTAAAACAGAAAATACGATGACTAGTGACAGCCAAAGTAAAAACACTTAAAACTGGGCGTGCTCGCGGCACCACGGGTTGAGGGCAGTAAGAGCACACCATCGCCCAGGTTAGTAGGTTAGGAAGGAAGAGAGGCGGAGGTGTACACCAGCCAAAGAGGCCAGTGAGGGAGTAATTATTGCATGAAATACTCAGGGTGGTCCGAGTCTTTCTCAAACCTCTTGGCCTCCTCTTGCATGCTTTCTTTAATTTTCAAAATAGCGGCCGATTCCGTTTGGTCCTGCAAGGAGAGCGACTTTTAGTGGTTAAGTGTCAGTCTACAAAAGCGTAAGCACCTATCACGATTATTTTTTTGTACTCACGTTTTCACCAGGGCCACCAAATCCCGTTAAGTTGTAGTCCCCCATTCCGCTTCCGCTGTCCTCTCGCGGTGTACCGGGTCCGCCGTTTGCAGGTGAATTTTTCATACCGTCCATACCATCACCGTTTAACACAGGTCCCATTGAGTTAGGTCCCATGGGACCCATCGGCCCGCCCTCTGGCCCACTTCCCATCGGAAACTCTCCGGGCATATTGCCGCCCACTGCAGGTTTCATAAGGGTATACATGTTTTCACCGCCAGAATTTGAAGAATCTTGAGGGCTTGGCATGATGGGAGTACCAGGACCCGGTGGACCTGCCGACCCTGGTGGTCCTCCGTAATTGCCAGGTGACGAGGAGGAGTAATTCATAGGCTTTATGTATATACAAAAAAAATGGTCACACAAATGACAGAATGAATCTCTCAGCTTACCGTCGATGTATTCGGTTGCCACTGTGGCCGACCACCAGGGCCAGTCATTGACATAGGCGGAATTGGACCTCCTGGACCTAAACTGCTATTAGGTGGGGGTCCTCTTAAACCGGGACCATAGGATCCAGGACCCAATGGACCCATAGAAGGACCACGAGGGGGGTTCATACGTGGATTCATAGGATTCATTCCTGGAGGGCCTGTAGCAAGTGCATATTACTACCTAGCCAATTAGCTTTAGCAATACTTAAGGCAAACAAAAGGTATATGTCAACAAATAACTACGGCACAAAAGACACCAGAGTAAGCTAGCTATTAAAAGGTAGTAAGATGGTATGAATATGAAATAAGCGAAGCAAGCAATAGTTGATGTGTATGCATATGGAGTGTAGTGGTGAAGGAGCACATTTGCCTACCTTGCCAACCTACAAATTCTCCGCCTTCACCTGGAGACAGAAATAGATGCATATTACATAAGGCATATTACAAGGATTGACTTCATGCTTGTGCAATTTTCTTTATACGTTGTTATATTAATAACCAAATTGAAAATCCTTCTGCTTTATAATGATTTGAGTTATCTGATATTAGGTAATAGAGGAAATAATATTCAAATTACCTTGCCTCGTCGGGTCCATATTGTTGGGCATCATCGGCTGTCCTGGCGGCTGCAATAAATCAAATTTTTAATATAAGCGGCATTTTTTATAATAAATTTAGTATGAAACTCCATTGTACCAAACCATCCAATGAACAAAGGGCGAAAATTGTAAAATAAATGACATGAGTTAATAACATTAATGATATCAGTTTCCTCCAGGTAGAAACTTGCATAGTATCAACCCCTAATTTGCATGCTCCTCCCATCGCAGCAACACAGAAGAACGTTCACCCATATCATGCTAACTACGTCCAGACCTGGCTTAGTACCAACAAGTGGCGCACAATCTCCTATCGTGCTATATTGTTAGGTCTGTTTGATCCTAATGCAGTGCCGTCGCACCTTCTACCTTGGCGAAATTCTTCTAGTGGTCTTCATTCCACCATGCAATAAGTGCTTGGGACTGCCAGATCCTACTATAAATACTGGCATGTCCCACTTAGTTCAACCAGGCGGCCAAGTACGATGCCACGCCATAATCCAACACTACGTAAGTTTCCACCCTTCAATAATTTGTTCAAATAAGTACCGCCTTGTTAGAACTTTTGTCTGGTTCTGCTCTTAGACAAGATCCATTGAATAAATTCAAACCGAACTATGACTTATGCCCAAATTAGCACTTCTTTAGGATAATGAGCGAGTGGCGTGGTAATTATTACCTACTGAAAATCAAAATGGGCACATGCAAAAACCTTGGTTTCCTCTTAATTAAAAAAAACTTTAACTAGACATTCCATTAGATGAAACATTTTGGACCTTGGGTTATTTTTGTTCATTTTACTCTCCTCTATCACGCAATTTTTTTATGGCAGACCTGTTGTATTCTGTATACCAGATAGGAAGGAAATTTATCGTATGCGTAGAGAAAGTGAGCTTTACGTTTAAAGAATTGAAGGCACAAGGTCCGTCAAGCTTTGCATTAGACTTACCCCATTAAAATCGTTGCCTATTTGTGGAGGCATTCTCACTCCTGGCCGTGGACCTGCCGGATAACGAGGTCCCATAAACGGTTGTGACGACATCATTTGAGAGTGAGGAGGTGGAGCTTGCGAATGTGGAGACGGTTGGTTAGAGGGATGCGTTGGCGGCGAGGGCCTCATGGTAGAGTTCTTAAAAAAAATATTACGCTGTCAATGAATAATAACGTTGACATTGAAATTACTCACTGGGAAGAAACCGGGTGGTATTGGACCGCCTGGCATGCCGTCATTCGGTGGCATTTGACCAAGAGGACTAGGTGCTGGGCCCGCATTCTGAAATGTACCCAAAGAAATTTTTAAACTGTATTACACGATAATTGGCAACTTACATGTGCAATACCATTTACACCATACCCAGAGTTGACAAAACCCTAAAAATTCAAACAATACAGTATACATACACATAATGCGATTCAAAAAATCAATTACAGTCGGCTCTCGATTATCCGGGCAAAGGAATGTTCACATACGAACCGAAAATGATGAATAATTGGGCATTTGTGAAAAACCTGGATAATACGCAAACTGGTCAAGCGGCACCTGAATAAACGCGATTCGACTGTATCATAATTCTCTAAGTCTTGGCCTAACGCAATGAAGCAAAAACACTATATTCCTCCGTTTAATCCCTGATATCAATGTAAACAATCAGGTTATAGGAGTACAAACTGATTCATGCATTTTCCCATTATTGATTGTAGAGTTTTATGACCAAATTAATAATTTTCATAAAACTGAAGGGGGGAAGAGGTAGAGAACGTAACATCTAAAACCCAAAAGAGGATTCATGTACGGACCTTAAGTATTTTTGCCTCAACAACTACCCTGTTTCGGTCAAAGGACAATTATATTTTGTTTCTACATGCACTGTAATAACTGCTGTATAAAATTTGCAGTCATATATCTACGTAGTTTACTTCAGTATACCTACAATGCAGGGCTACAACGTTATACTCACAGCATTGTAAGTGGGGGGTGTATATAAAACATTCGTAGTCCTGTTAGGTTTGAATCAAATAATTTTTTCACATGGACTAAATTTGTTTTTCCATACTTAACGTCAGGACAGGCACAGCATGGCCAAAAAGTTATCAACGCCTGCAAGTATATTTTGGGGGCTGGGCAGAGGTTGATAGTGGTGACATACCTACTCCGCACATCTTGCAAATGAAAGGGGGGTCATTTGGAAATATAAAGCAAAATTCACTACGAAGCGATTTTGGATCTCATGCAAAAATTTGAGACGCTTTTTTACGCGGAAAAGTCGATTGGTTTAAATGTTTCGAAAGGGAAATCACAATGGAATTTTCTGTGTACACTTTAGTCAGAATTTTAGGATATTTTAGTGATTTCGAGCCTTTGCTTTTACCAGTCCAAGAATGACTGGATGCGAATGGGCGGTAGTTTTCTTACTCGCAATTTTAAAACGTATCGAAAAAGTACAATGATGATTTCTCAGGTACCTCTATTATGCCAAAAACAGGAATTACACATGTGAATCAAAATCGCCTTTTGCATGTTATGGGCGAACATTTTATCTGCATTTCCTTTCTGCTAGAATGTCTGAACTTTTATGCACTGCAAATAAACATTACACTTTTTATTGTAAAAAGACTATGCTAATGTTTCAAGGTGTACTTTATTTAACTCGCTTCCAATATTGATATAAACTATACTAAACCAAAAGCGCCTGTGTACCTATTTAGTAACCTTAATGTTGATTTTTTCTTTTCTTAATATTTTGTCCTGTAAATGGTGCAAACTGTTGGTTAATACATTATTATTATTATTATCAATAAAACCACTTTTGGAAACTTTCTAATGACGCTTCGTGGTATGTTGCAATTTAAAATTTTGGAGCGTAGGTTACGAAGTAGGTACCTACACAATATGCGTGTACCTATAGACTAATCGTACTCAAGGGCCATGCTGCGGACACATTGTACGGTGATTGATTATTACAATACACAGTAATATAAATATTAAAAAAAATACTGGAAAGTATTTCATATAGGCAATTGCTTTGTAAGGGAAGAATTCTTAAATCAAATCAGAAATTTCCAGTTATTTTGGATCTTTCCAAAATGCTGGGTATATATTTCAAAGTATTTTGTAAATCATGGGCATTTTTAGTGTACATAATCTTTTCAGCGATTTCCCAGTCGAAATCGGCGTTGCCAATCCAAAAAGTGTAGACATTTTCGGAAAAGTGCCATAAAAGAACAAGGAAGTTATTTTTCAGATTTCGTATATGGTGCGTTTTAGCTTTTGTTTAAACACAATTTCTTTTTTCTTTACGACGAACGCAACTGTGCAACGCTGTGAAGTTGAATCGGGGAAGGTCGAGGGAAAATACGTTTTATTGATGGCTTACGAATTGTAAAGACACGCGCTAAAGAGGAGGAAGTAGGTGCTTAGCTTAAAATACGTAGTAGTACACAGAGGAATTGTTTGAGCAAAATAGGAAAATTACGCGCCCTCCGGGTAAACGCACCTGCTTTAAAAGCGAACAATGTTGCCAAGCGTACTCGTATCGTAGTATTGATCGCAAAGTGTCATAAAAAGGAAACGGATCAAATAATTTTCGTTATACTCACATAATCGTGGAAGGCTTTTGCTTCTGATGAATGTTCGCATGTGTCTCTCCTTTCGGGGGCGGCGCAGTACAAGTCCCAAAATACACTAAAATTACGTCCGCTCGAAATTACGTTTAAAAAATTTGCCGTCCACAACTTACCACCACCAAGAATGCAGAAATCCCGGCGGTTCCCCTAACGTTATATTTTTCTCCCAGCGTATCTAAAATTACAATTTATGAGAAATCGAGGCGCGATACTCAAATTACCTCCGAGAGAAACGTTTGAGCGGCTTTTTGTGCACCGACATGAAGCAAATATTCGTAGACGTATAGCGCCAACCTGCATAATACTAAAAATTAATGTTGTTAAATAAAACGACACGTGCCATTGATTATGGCAACGTTGTTTGAATTCTGAACGATTTTATAGATGCCACGTGGGATTGTTATTGTGAAAGTCGTTAAGGAATAACACCAATACGTCTGCAGCTACTTTTAGGAATTGGACAATGGTGAACGTAAAAGAGTAAATCGGAAAAATAACCCGGGGGTAACTTACTTTTCTCGTGCCTGTGCATCGGAGGGTACGGTCGAGCCTTTCCCTTTTGCGTACATTACGTTCTTGTTGTTTTCTTAAAAATTAAAAACAAACTGTAATCACATCGGTCTATTTGTTCGCGCACAGAAAACACATTACTGAAAACCACCGGAGGACGTTGTGCGGCTAACGGTACATTATTTTCACATTCGTATTTAACGAGTCATAAAGGATAAAACACCAAAAATTAGGTAAAAATTGAAACGTTAAATGATTTCGGACAACCCGCTAATCAAACCATCGCACAGAATTTCGACTGAGCATGCGTTTCCCATTCGCGACAGTAAAACACACACAAAACCATTATTTCTTCCATAAGATCCTTTCGAACGCTTACAACACAAGTAATTTTTAATTAATCACCACATAACTTTATCTCTACTCATTTAGACGCATTTTACTGTATGAAATGTTATCCAAACAACTACCAAATTCGTGACAGAATTTACGAGATACCAAAGCGAAGATACACCTTGCAGAAGTACTGCCTGACTGGTTTTACGGCGCACAAGCGCACATCGACCATTCCAGGAGGGGAATTACAAAATTTTCATTAATTTAGGCTTTAGAGAACAAGTTACAGTTTCTCGTAACACTTTCTCTACTTTCAATCGTATTTGAACTTTAAAACGAAATTTAACCACAACCGCTCAAATCACTGCAAAACAAACACAAAACTTAACTTTTTTGACCAAAATTTACCATTTTTAAGTTCCCTACGTTTACGCGTACCAAACTACCTACGTTTTTTGAATTGGAAAATGCAATGGGAAAAAATTCGCGCCATCATCAGTGCAACGGTTGTGAACGAATCAAATTACTCGAAATCAAAACCCATAAAAAACTTCGACGGGAATGTTAATGAACTTCTTTCTAATCTAATCTTTCATCAAATATAATAATTTGCATATTAGCGTCGCACTCTCAACAGTTACATCTCTTCGGCAACCAAAATTGTGACGGGGTGATAGGTACCACTTTCAAAAATTTAGTAATTTTCATAATTTTGACCACAAAATTGTTCTGTTTTGTTGCTAGTTTTTTAATTGCTATTACATTTAATGTCATATCTATTAATTCCCATTAAATAGAAAAAATAAAATTAACAAAAGAAAGCTTTTCTTGCGGTTTTTCTGGAACAAAAATCAACAAAAAAAGTTTGACTATCCCGTCCATGTGGCAACCGTAATTGAAACAGAATTGCACAATGCCTAATTTCTTTTTGCAAGCTCTTGCGCGTTGTATTGTGATGTGTAAGTGTGATAAGCAAACACAAGGAGTAAAAAAACTGCAACAGATCATAGAAACATTGCAGAAGAAAAGGTATACAATGAAACAGTAAAAAGCAAGAAACAAATGGTGACATAAGAGTACCATCGACTTTATAACCAGCCTGTTTTTGCGAAGGTTGAGTTGGTAACGTTGACAACATCAAATGACAAATTATAACCTCCATTTTTAAAAGGGTGTGTTTATGTTTATAATGTTTTAGTTTAATCTTTAAATTATTTTCAAAGTCTTTGTTGTTTTAAACCCGAAGAATAAAAGCGCACATAAAAATGGCGATCCTTGCTTCGTGTTGGTCGCCTTGTTTGTGGACGGACAGCTTGAAGTCGGGATGTAACGCGATTGCCTTCTATACAGTGGCATTTTCCTTCGTTCTGATGGCGTTCACTGTATTTGATATGACAGGAGGAGACTCAACACAGTTGTACAATCCGTTGTTTGAGGCCGATGTCCGATTTTGTAAGCAGCCGTGTGACTCACCCGCCTTCTTTGACCTTTTGTTGTTGTAGCGATGCAAGTAGTTGGAGGACTTCTAATCGTGTATTTTATCGCATTAATTGCATCGGCAGCTTTATTAGTGGTTGGTGTTAAAAGGATAAATCGAGGAATGATGATACCCTGGCTTGTAGGCTTTGGACTAGCGATTATATTTCAGCTTGTATTTGGACTGTGGCTGCTCGGAGGATATTATATTTATGTAAGTGGCAAAGATTTCCTACCACCGATTTTATCTAGTCTGTTTTAGCTTGATACAGTTTTTTACACATTGGTCGATTGGTTGTGGATGGCGTACAATGTGAGTTTCAATTGGCATTCGCAAATAATTTACCTACATCTTTCAGATCTATTGTTGGATTGTCGTGTTGTCCCAATACCAAATTTACGCCGAAATGGCATCGCCTAACATCGAGTTACTCTGGCCATAAACGTAATACATTTACAGTGTAATTCCATCCATATTCCGTCCATTTTTGTATAATTGATTGTTATTGTAAATGAAATAGTTTTTATTCATTATACTTGACTGTTTGACATTAGTCAGCAAATGAAGCTACATATCTTAAGATTAGATTTACAATGTATTAATTTTTTTATATGTATTTTTTCTAACTTTGATAAAGTTGATTTGTATTAGTCACAATTTCTTGATCTTGACTAGGGTTACCATAATGACCATGTTGAATTTTATCTACTTAAGTAAAGACTAACTCTGTTGCAACTGACGAATTGTGAATTCATTATGTTATCTGGGTATGGTCAACTGCTTAATCATAAATGAAATAAGCTTAAGAGATTAAGTGGTTCAATGATAATTTAATTGTGAATGGAATTCGCGAATATAGTAAAGAATTGAGCTTGTTATTTCAAATGAATTATTTTTGATTTCAATTCAATTCTCATATGAATTGGTAAAGTTTTGTCTACAAGTTACATAAGCAGGACATTTTTGTAAATGTGCATTATCAATCAAACTAGTTGCTCATTGAACAATTTTTTATTAAAAACCACACACTACACAAATATTAAGCAAATATGCAACATTTCTCAACAAACTTGGTATCCATTTACTAAGAATTGAGGCCATTTTTACACCTTTTGTGAAAATACAACTCATTCCTACTATGAAGGCTTAATCACAGAGGCCTGTCTTCCCGTCAAATTTGGAACTCGTGGAATAATGACATTAAATTTAATTATATCTAAGGAAATAAATACATCTCTAAAACAGTATAATCGAATTCATGCATGCATAACTTATACTGCGGATAAATAAACACAAATCGTTTATAAATTGATACTACAAAATGGACTAATGTTCGTTTGCTTCTTGTGAAGAATGGGATGTCCTGATTACAGAATATCTGCTACGGATTTGTAAGCAAGTTTAACCAGTTTCTTGTCTCCCTTGGGAGAATGTGTCCGCTTTTCTAAAACTACTCCAAAGAATCTTCTGTTAGTATTTGTCTCAAGTTTCTTGTCGAACTTCTCGTATTGGTTTGACTTTACTTTCAATTGCAATTCAAAATGTGATCCTAATAGGTGTGGGAAAGTGCGAAAGAGATTATAATATATATTTTAATTGCATACCAAGACTCTAGATCTGATAATGTAATGCCAAGACCTAGTTTTATTATTTTCAGAACATCGAGTATGACGAGTTGCCTATATACTAGGGTGCATATTCAATAAAACAGTAGTATATTTTGAAACCTATGGACGCGATTTCATTTAAAATTATGCAAATAAGTAATAGAGAGTTGCTGTGATATGAAAATATAAATTTTTAGTATTCATTACATTAAACAATTGTAAATGAATAAACAATGACGAAACGTTGATGATGTACACAGCAATCAGTGTTTTGTAATTTTTTTATCTTGGACTGTCAATGAGTAACCACTCTTTGATGTAACATCTTAGGCCGGTAGGCCATTGAATAAAAAAATAAGGTAGGCCCCAAATTTTGTAAAATATATCGTTCTGACATCTGTCGTGAATTTAGTGAACTGAATGGTACTTGTTGCCAATAAATGCAGGGCACTTAATCATTAATATCGTATTTGCACACGTCGCCACCCTTATAGAAAACTGCACCTAACGGTAATAATTTGCTGCACTTAAGTGACTTCGATCAGCAAACTAACGTTAGATGTCAGAACGATATATTTTTTAAAATTTCAGGGCCCATGGTATAATAAAAAGGGCCCACAATAAAAAAAACAGACTGCATATAATTCTATACGGAGATGGGCTCATCAGTTACTAGATGTCCGCAGTTTATACATTAATAATACATTTTTGGGTCAGCATAGGTGTGATATAAATGAAACTATAATAATAAAATTTTATTTTGTGTATTTCAAGTCTTTGGACAATATTATAAAATTCACATTCACAATTAGTGCTTTAAATTTATAAAGACAGTCTTCAGACTTATTTGTAGACCTATTCAATTATTGTTAATCATTAGATAAGACTCACAGACACAGTTTAGTTTGAAAGGCGTATTTAAAATTAGGATAAAATTACAGTAGATACAACCCCAACAAAAGTAAAAACAATATTAGTATATTTACATTATACAAAATTAACTAAATGAATCTGTGAGCTATCCCATACATTGTGACACTTAATTTTTACGGACTGGTTCGTATTAATTCTATTTGCGTAACGTTAATTGGCATGAAACAATACACAAAATAATAGATAAATTCAAACACAAGTTATGTCTAGGTTATAAGTAAACTGGTAGTTGCATAAATGGATGTTAGGCACTATAAAATCATTTTGTTATCCAGCACGTTAATATGAATATCAAAATGTTAGTTGCAAAAACTATCACAGTGGCGTATACTATCTAAACTATTACTATAAAAACATTAACAATGCCACAATTTGATATTCTGCTGTTAGTTTCTATTGATGTAATTAAAAATATCTCTACATCCACTAGTTTACTTAAGACCATACATTTAGTTACGTATTAGTATTACTGAACAAAAATTGATGCAGTCTCTCCATTTAATACAATTTGTTTGTCATAAAGTCTCTGATGAAATTGAGAGGAAAATAATGGATGGCTGCATCGTTAAACTTCGTCTCAAGGTAAAGCGTTCATTCAAAGACGATAATCCCATTATCACACAAACAAAAATTGACCGACAGGATACCTTTGTAAATTTAAAGGTAGAGAGAGATCCCCTAATGGAGAAATGCTGTATTGTCAACCCAGTCTACTTTCATATCTTCAATTACACTAATTGCTTATTATCGTGTATGTCATTATGAATTAAGAGATCTCATTGAATGAACGCTGAACTGTGACAGACTATACATATTTAAAGGCTGCTTCAAAGATTGCATAACCTGAGCCATTGTAAAACTTGAAATAATAGCACGAAAGCAACACTATAACAATGATATGTTAGAAAATGCAACCTAAACCAATATGGAAACAAAACTTAAATTTGTGGTGTAAACCACAATTACTCTAGACGCACACAAAACGAATTAAATGTCATATTATTGCACAATTTCACAACAACGTCGGAATATTGCAATAAATATCAATACTGAAGATAATTTGCCAAACTTTGCGAAATTTGACAGATAATTCATCTATGCGCACAATTTTCGTACACTAACAAACCACACTTACTACATTATAAAAAACTTTGGTTCAGACTGCCACTTAACTAAATTTTTTATGAATTTGCCATCCTTAAGGCACTTGTGACTTAAATATGACCAGATCAAGATTGAAAGAACATTTGACACAAAGTACAAAACTGCCACAGCCGTCATCATTCAATGGAAAGGGGCCGCCAACAATTGGGGGAAATACCACACTAGTCTTTACCAGTATACAGAACAAAATTGTATTAAAAGATCTAATTCATTCCTAACAAAATACATAGTGGTCCTTCACTAATAATTTTATATCTATAGATTTTTATCTCACCCACGCTGAGAGAAAAATAAATTAAAATGTTCATATTCATTGGTAAGTAATAATTCCACGTTTTATTATTGAATGCCCTTGTTGATGGTGATGGTTTCATATTTGGTTTTCCCATAAATTATAACTGACAGTCTTTTGTTATTAAGGCATACCTTTTAAAATGAATAATTAGGGATCTTTATTAAAACAGAATATAAAACCATCTGCATTACATCAATAAGAACTGATCAAAAACAGAAATACTTCAACCCTGTATCCCCCTTCATGCTTAATATTGTTGCCAGACCCTGTATATTTCAGATATTTAATTACTAAAAAAATGTGATAAGGTTTCTTCAGGGTTGGGTCAGCAGAATGCATGACCTACTTTACACAATCTTCTACATGTGCAGTACTGTCATGAGTTTTTTTTACACATTTACCAAATTTAGAAATTGGCAAATTACTCAAGAATTCATTAAACTAATCTTGAGTTTGTAACAGAATTTTATTTACTAGAACAACATAATTAAACTTCAAATGACAAGTGACAACCATATCATATCCTTACACTAAGGACAAAAATCGAGAAAATTACACATTACAACATACGTATGTACGTAAAAAGGTTTGTAGAGGTATAACCACAATCAGGTAAATTTGGTAGTTGTGTATTTAAAGCATGAAAATAACAAATCCAAATTTCGAAAAATCCCTACGGTAATGCTTGGTCCAACACATAAGTCCATGTGAGAGTTACGTGACAAGAAATGTGGAATAATAATAATACCCGATTACCTCAATCCTAAGTTGTGTCGACAAAGAAATTACAAATGTTACACAACAGTACAACTGCAGTATTTTCGATAAATACATCTCAGTAGCAAATGAGAGTGAAAAAGTGCACATTTCAAGGGGATTTTCGACTATTCTACACAGTATTCTAAGTTTTGTATGTCCTATATGTAATGACTCAACCCTGTTTTCCTTAATTAGCTGAGTAAGAATACTGTAAGAGACCGCTTCCATTCCCTTCTCTTACCGTCACAAATATTAAAACACTAGTTACGATTGCTATCACTCTCACAGCATATTGTGAGCCGACACATTCTGTTTGTAAAAAAAGAGGTAGGTAATAAAAAAATTAGTTACAAAGTTGATTGAGAAATTAAATAGCACAACACTTTCTCCGACAATTGAAGAAAAAAATTAATCGTATCCTCTAATTTACTCCCATAACCATAACAACTAAACCTACATAATTGAAGGCAGTCTGTACCGTCAAGTACAAAATTAAAAAAAGGATTATAAATTGAAAAATAATTTCGTATTGGCGTACACTCACGAAATCAATTAAGGCCTCAATTTATTCAAAAACTAAAGCAGCAGATGCGTAACTGACTGATGAATCGTTCACATTTCTACACTGACTTGATTGTGCGTACTTCAAAAACTTTAAATTAGCACTTATGGTACTGTCATTTCGCAGAAGTTCTTGCACCGCCTAAATTTAAACATATCAGCTTAGGTTAAGCAGCAAAAGTTACCCACCTGCAATAAAATACCAATAGGATGTCTTCCGCATATGGTATTTCCGTACTTCTTTAAATAATTTGTAAATTCGGTTGGATTTAGATTTTCGATAATACTCATACCCTGCAGACACACGGTATAATATATACACTTAAAAAACCGATATACCTACAGCTCTATCCAATGCTTCAATAGATTGATAAATATTTCCACAAGACCTATCATAATAAGTGTAACGAAACCGTTGCCCCCAATGACAAAAGTCTGAAGATATCACAAATAGGTTCTGTGGATCTGCCAAATATGATGAAAGCAGTCTTCCGTAAAAGGCTTCCTTTTCGGGACTAAGCGATCCGACTAGTATTGGCACTATCGTAAATTGATTTTTGTAGCTAGAATAGATGACCTATAGCAGTTACTATATTAATTTTAAGGGCTTACGTGGGAAAAGTAGTCCCATCAGCTCACTACTACATTAATTACTCCTCAAGCCTTAAAAATTGTGACTAATTGAAATAAACCCTAAACCTACACCGTTATGGAATCAATCACCAAATGATGTTCTCATTTACAATTGCCAACAAGTTTTGAAGATTAATTTAGTCTTAAAGAATGGCTACAGTTTACCTATACTTCCCAGTTAATGAGGTTAATGATCGGATCAGCATCTACTTAAGCAGTTAGAACGATATAACACATGCTTCTGGTAGAACATAGTCTTGTTTAAATTCATATCTGAAACTATATAAGAATATTTAGGTAGCACATACACTTATTAGCTTTCATTATCAAAAACTTCGCACCAACTTTAAGGCAACCTTCCATCATTATACTACAGCCTGTTCATGAAGGCTGTCTCTAAAGGTTGAGTGGTGAAAAAACCGCCCATGAAAGTTCAATTCTGCTTAAGCATCTTTCACACAGATAAAAGATCAACATTAAGAGAGGCTATACATGCTTTCTGTATTAGAAAAGATGCTGAGACAAGTATAATAGCCAAAGGGAAGACTGTTGTGCTTGGTAACATTTACTTCCACATCAGAAAACAACATGGTGGCCATCTTTATTTTCCATGGCTGTTCAATTAACAATGTGCAATTAATTACATTTCTTTATGGGACTACAGCTACATTCGTTGCTGAAGCTGTCAGCATGACAGTGAGCTGTCAACCCTTAATTGTGAGATAAATTGGCGAACTCATTATTTCGGAAATTTAAACCACCAATTATTATAGGCTTTAAATTTTGGTTGGTCCAAACAGGCATCTGATTCGACTTGTGATAAATTACCATAGAAAGTAGCGATAAGTTTTTAGGTCCATTTTAGCATAGAAATTAGATCTTTTTTTCTAAGAAACGTGGGTTGGACATTAACTTATGATTGCTCCAGAATGGTTCCTAAGTTGGAACTCGCCAACTGGGTTCTGACTTGGTCTACCAAATACTGATTGTGTCGGACAGGATCGACCGGATACTGACTGGACTGGATCTGTCGGATACTGGGTGGGCCAGGTCTATTAGATACTGGATGGGCTGGGCTTGTATAATTTGGATTTTATCCACTTCTGTATAGAGGATGTAGCATATGTCTGTAAAAAAAATGGGCTTTAAAAAGGAACAAAATAAACCAAACCAAATAAATTACGGATCTAAAATGTTTCGCTTGGGTGCCACGACTACAAAACTTTCTCACTGATAAACCAAAGTGTGAAAAAAAATAAGGAATCTAATAAGTTTTGAAATAACTCCTACTAAAATCCTAATTGTACATTCGAATTGGATGTTATAGACGACTGTTTATTTTATAGATACAGGAACACAATTCCTGTCATTATGGGAACAAAAGTTGAGAGAATTGCATGCAATCTGAAAGCACATTAGAATATCACCCTGTCACAAAGTAATAGTCTGGCAGAGTGCAACCTTAAATCAGTGAAGTGGAACGGATGTTCAACAGGCTGTTACGAACACGTTTGGATTTAATGACGGAAATTCCAAAATTTAAAACCGGGGAAGACTAGACTACAAGAAATTGAACCCCAAGTTGACAGTGATCTTCACAGATTCATTCAAAGCTACAAAAGATATGAGAAAAAATGTTCACTCATCCTTTTACATCCAGAATGAACCTGAATCTATACAAATTAACTTACATAACGTAAAATCATGTTTTGCAAATAATACTAAACAATGTCCTCAAAGTATAGTGTCCAAGGTGCAACCTTGTGGCACACCACCGGTATCAAGATTTTATCGCTCACTTCTTCCTCATTGAGAATTTCCCGCAATTTTAAAGGCCAGTGCAACGTAAATATTCTTATACAGCCTTACCACACATTTTTATTGATGGTATGATTTTCTTTATAATACTCACACACATCATCTTCATTAAAGCTCTTACCTTTTTATTACTCAGTTGTAGTTTATGAAGACATGTTAGTTACTAAATTATTATGTATAAAGTATCTTTCCATTATCAAACATATTGTTAGTACACAAGGCTTTAATGTCAGTTCATTAAGAAAATCTTCAAGACAACATTTTTGTACACCTCTACAAATTTATAAATGCTACCAAACCAAATAGGTGCAACAATACGAAGCAGATAGTAGAGTCATTCGACACATTGGCAAAAGAGATCCGTCAGCAAAATTGACATTTCTGTAAGAAACTACTGATCACATTGTTTGCACGAACACCCTGTATTCAAACGTCTGTGGCACCGCTGTTAGAATGATTTGAAAAGGTTAGAGCTTTAATGAAACTACTTAAACCATTCTTGTGAATGAATACCTATCGATTCTATTGAATCATTATTTCTACTTACGTCTCCATAATTTTAGCTATATAAGGTAAGTGCATTTCTATACTGTGTTCATTTTCGTCCGTATCTAAGTCCATCCATTCAAATTGCCCTGACATTTCTAAATCGGCGTTCACTAAAGTTGCACTAATGTGAAATGAGTCGTCCAAATATTATGAACATTAATACCTTGCATATCTACATGAAGATCACTTAATGGGGTCTTGTATTTTTGTGTACTGGACAAAGCGCATCCGGATAATCTTACATGGTGCGAAGGTCCCAAAATGAATATTCTTCTAACGACGACAGGACTGATTTGTCTATAGGCATGTCCTGCACAAGCACCACAATATTGATACCCGGCATGTCTGAAACGCATCTCAAATGAGATTTATTTAGTAAAGTAAAACGCTTACGGAGCGATTATTGCACGTGCAGGACCGTGCCGCAAATCTGCTTGGTGTAACCAGTATTCTAATTGGCGAGAGAGCTCCGGACCTACGCAAGATTGAAAACTTGTAAATCACAAACAAAGGTTAATGACACATGTCATTAAACAAAGAACATAAGGAACAGCTGGTTCATTGAGAAATGACTTACCAGAATCTGTATACCAACTTCCTGCATGAGTAGCTCTACGAACTGGCATCTTGTATTTTTAATTACACTACTTATTATTACACTAATATGTCCAAAATAAACAAAACTGACAATATACTACTATTATAAAAAGACAAATTTCTATTGCTGTTTTTAACAATTGGTGCTATTTGGTTTGTAACTTCACTATACATGTGGTAAAGTAGAACCCTCTTTAAGCATTTTTATCCATAACTAACCCAAAGCACACCTTTCAAATAAAATGAAGCCTAAATTGTGCAAACTTAATTAATTGAAGGTTATTAAGGAAATTAGTCATTTATATATCACTTTAAGGTTATGTAGGTTCAGTTCGGGGGAGGCCATTGTTCTCAAACGTCATAAGCAGTGGCGTCCTTAAGATTTTAAAAGGGTAGGAGGTGGGGTTAACTTAAAATAATATCATTGATTATACAATAACGATAATCAATGATAATATTTAATATGTTGTACATGGAATTAAGCTAATCAACCTCTAGTTAGACCATTGTGTAGTAATGCATATACAGTTTTTAAAATAAGGCACAATCACATAATTATCCTGACTATGAAAAAATTGTAAATTTGGCTTTTAGGATGTCGATGTCTTGATAGTTTAGTTGCTTATGCTTAAATGATTTAATTAATATTACTAGCTCACTAGACCAATTAACATTGCCGTAACGTGTACTGACATAACATTAAGATTGATTAAAATGAGATATTAACATAATTTCGGCCACATCCAAAAATCATCACAGAACAATGTTTGTTTGGCAAGATAAAGTAATCGTTAGGGGTATGTCATGTTCGTGTAACATTACAAGATAACTAGGATATAGCAGGGATAAATGATTAGGTACTAAATAAGTATACACACAATGGTTATTGTTTATTTTACAAACGAAACATATAGTCTAGGCGATAGAGACTGTAAAATTGGCAAACTGGACATTTTGAGGTGGAAAAGAAAATGGTGGAATATGTTCAGTTAGGGGTCAAAAACAACATATTAAAAATCCCACCCTCCAGACTCTGTGCTAAACGCTCCAGTCACCCCACCATCCCCCAAAAACCGTGTTTTCGCTCTTTTTGGCTGATATCTCGCCATCTATGGGGTCTATATGAAATATAAAATGAAAATATTTCTCGGGAAATTTCATACAAGGTAGATACTAAGAAGTTAGCCTAGGTGTACCTCTTAACCTCTTAGCCTAGGAAATTCATAAAAGCGGCGAAAATCATCAATTTTCGTGGCTTTTTGCAAATATATCGCGACCTTTAGGGCTAGATGAAATATTTTTAGCTGAAAATGCTCCTCGTGAAATTTTTTACAAGGTAGATACTCAGAAGTTAGCCTAGGTGTACCTCTTAGCCTAGAAAATTCATAAAAGGAGGCGAAAATCATCATTTTCGTGTTTTTTTTGCGGTTTTTTGCAAAAATATCGCGACCGTCAGGGCTAGATGAAATATGTTTAGCTGAAAATGCTCTTCGTGCAATTTCATACGAGATAGGTAACTGAAGAGTTGGCGTAAAGTCACCTTTCACCTTCAACTTTCATGTGTGAGGAAATATTCATTGTAAAACAAAGTATTTCTATGTACCATTTATTCACGTAAAAACAGTATTTTCATATTAAAATATTCACACATTCATTTATACCTCAACGTAATCATTACCCTTATACTTATCCAAATCAATTCGTACTTTTTCGATCAGACTTCTCAATCAAAAGTTATAGACTAGAAACCAATTTGAAAAAAAATTCAAAGGGCTGTAACTTTTGAACTAGTAGCCCAATCTTGGAACTGTTTGAAATTATGGATTCTACAGGCCACATTCTATAAGAAAATTTTTTTCCGGGTCGATCTGAGACAATTTTTTTTCGGGGCTCAAAAAAAGGCAGTGTATAACCTTCCTTTTTTACCAAAAATCGACTACACCAAAATTTCTCGGGAAAACACTTTTTCTTATTAATTTGGGTGCGTAGAATCCAAAACAATTCGTACTTTTTCGATTAGACTTCTCAATCAAAAGTTATAGACTAGATGCAGATTCCACTTCTTCAGGCTCTTCGACGTCCTCTAGTGGTAGTGGGTCGTCTGAGATTACCGACTCGTAGTTCTCGTCTTCCGCTTTACCTGATGCATGGGTACCCTGAAGAGACGACGTGGCATTTAGGCACGATGCTCCATGACACTGGACGCAGAGTTCATTACACTTCAGACCTACAACAAGAAGCATATTATGTCAAAAAAATGTTTATAAATATGTATACGATTATAATATTCTCTCGTGTGTCCTAAGTGTCCGGTAGAGAAGGTTTACCTGATTTCCTGCAACTGTTTCAGAAAATCAGGTAAACCTTCTCTACCCGACACTTAGGAGTTAGGACACACGAGAGAGACATAATATTTCTTGTTTTAGGTCTGAAGAACGAATTCTGCGTCCAGTGTCATGGAACATCGTGCCTAAATGGGACGTCGTCGTTTCAGGGTGCCCATGCAGGTAAAGCGGAAGGCGAGGAGAACTACGAGTCGGTCATTTCAGACCACCCACTAGCACTAGAGAACGTCGTAGAGCCTGAAGAAGTGGAATCTGCAGAGAATAATGATTACGTTGAGGTATAAATGAATGTGTGAATATTTTAATATGAAAATATTGTTTTTACGTGAATAAATGGTACATAGAAATAGTTTGTTTTACAATGAATATTTTCCTCACACATGAAAGTTGAAGGTGAAAGGTGACTTTACGCCAACTCTTCAGTTACATATCTCGTATGACATTGCACGAAGAGCATTTTCAGCTAAACATATTTCATCTAGCCCTGAAGGTCGCGATATATTTGCAAAAAACCGCAAAAAAACACGAAAATTGATGATTTTCGCCTCCTTTTATGAATTTTCTAGGCTAAGAGGTACACCTAGGCTAACTTCTGGGTATCTACCTTGCATGAAATTTCCCGAGAAATATTTTCAGCTAAAAATATTTCATATAGACCTCATAGGTCGCGAGATATCAGCCAAAAAGAGCGAAAACACGGTTTTTGGGGGATGGTGGGGTGGCTGGAGCCTTTAGCACAGGGTCTGGAGGGTGGGATTTTTAATATGTTGTTTCTGACACCTAACTGAACATATTCCACCATTTTTTTTTCCACCTCAAAATGTCCAGTTAGATGTCTTTATCGCCTAGACTAATAGTGCTAATAAAATAAGAAAATAACGATAAATATAAATACCTACCTTCTTCTTCTTTATATATCAATTTCTTCTGTACGTGTATTAGTGACTGAACTCCTGCTAAACGACTGGGCAAACTTTTATACAAAAATTATTCTTGTTACTGTAACCCTGTGTTAGAGGTTGCAACCCCCACAAATTGTTAAATGGAGCGATATTACTGTATCACATGAAAAAAATAAACACAATAGGTACCTTTTTTCTATATTTGTTTTATAATAATAATAAATTACACTCTTTCCCTCGTCTAACTCGAGAACGAAAAGAGACAGCGATTTCAAACCTTCGCCGATCGGTTTCTACGAGTTCAAAGATCAGTGCGCTATTGAATATGAGCCGGATTAAAAGTTTGGTTTCCGAATGCGGGCTGAGTAGAAAAAAGTCTCCTACTGAAAATCTTATACCTACTATTCTTCTTCGTATCTTGTTATTAATTTTAGAGACAAGTGTACTGTATATATTCATGTAATCACAGCAGCGCAATTTTTCTGACTTCTGTCAGTTCTTCAAAATGCAGTGGCTTCGTTTTCAAAAAAAATTTCACCCCCTCTTTCATTCCTAACAATCTAATGTCTAAGGGTTGTAAATCAGTGACTGGGTTGGGTATTTTATTCGAGTATGAATAATAATTTTTTCATACTGTCTACTGCACAACGATACCGCTCTACATATTTATTAGGAGAAGTTAAGCTAGATGTACCCAGAATAAAAAGAAGACATGACGTTTACGGTTTACTCATTACATTGAAGTGTATTTTTCACTGTTACTTATTTGAAATTATTAAAAGGGCCCAGAACGAGAGGGATAATAATAAATAAATCTGTAGATACTGATCCCCATGACGTTGAATGGAAACTGGATAAATGCTCCTTCTGTAAGGGATTAATTTGAAGGCAAAACAAAGAAGGAAAATAGGTGGAAGGGAAAGGTGTTGAAGCCTCAATTGTAGCACCTTTTAACGGTTCAAAAATGTATTACCGCGCATGATGTACATGTTTTATACAATTCTACTATTTGGATCTATTTACATAAGTACATACAGTACTAAGTAGACAGTCGTTGAGGTTTTGGTAGCGAACATATGCTATTGTGAGCAGATATAGCGATAATGCCGGCTAATGTAATTCCAACGGCATCCGCAAAACTGGTAGCACCTAACGAAAACTGCTTGTGTTCTTCTGGTGTCTAAAAACAAATCATACATTACAGGGCACTTATTCACATACTTCTAAATACTTCATTCGAAATTTTGTAGAAGGTGTTAACGTATGCTGCTCCCCCTAGCAATCCTTCCCAAAAAGTTAAGGCTAATACGATCCAAAAGCTGGGGATGTAATAAAATATGGCTTCCGTTGTGAAAAAAGCCACATTAATGAGCTGAAACAATTGAACCGCTTAAAACACATCTCATCATTTTTTTCCTGTTTTGCATCATATCCAATTGTCATGATTCTTTAAATTGAATTTGTGACAGTGATCGCCGAATACTGGGAAAATGTTTTCCTATTTAAAAAGTGCTTCTTCTTGTACTTACTTGAAAGACTGACATCAACCAAATTTTCCGAATGTGAAAAATATTAACAGATGATCTGGAAATAAATACGCCAATTTGATAATCAACTTGTAACCATCTATACTGTTCAGCTTTGTTAAGGAAGATGCCTTCGAAATTGATAAGTTCATACTAAAAATGATTAATGCTAAGTAGCTACTTGGTTTTCAAACAAGTACCTACGCACCATTCCTTGATTTATAAAATATTCAAATAAGTAGACTAGTCCAATAGGGATCATGAACTTGAATAACGATGGAAGTATTCGTACTTTTTCTTTAAATGGGAGTTCTTGTAAGGTATTTGTATCTCCTACGGCAATAACCTGCGGCCTAGGCAAAATTATCCAAAATCTGAAAACAGTCAACTTTGAAAAAGGGTAATTGAAGATATCGACTTACGATATTGCCATTGTAACAGGTACTACTAGCATTATGAGTAGGGTGGTTCGGATGCCCAACGCATTCAGTGTGGCATACGATAGCGCTCCAGCTATTCCAGCTCCGCCTGTTCCTGAAGACCAAGTTGAAATGACG